AGATAAAAGTTGAACGTTTTTGCAATGTTTGTGTCTCGTTATTCGGTGTAAAGGAAACGGTATTTCAGAAAAATAAAACATGGTGGTAGTGGTGTGATGGTCTGGGGCTGTTCTGTCGCTTTAGGACCTGGAAGACTTGCTCTGATAAATGGAACCATGGATCCTAAAGGAAAACGCCTGGCCGTGGCATCAACCAGAAATGTACACCAGGACAATGATCCAAAACACACCAGCAGGCCCTCCTCTGAATTACTGAAGGAAAACTAAAACCTTTAAAAAGAAAGTTTGTTGTATTAAAAAACCACCAATGTGGCCAAAATTATTGCAATTCTGTCAAAATGAATGGGCCGACATTGGAAAAGAATCAATTAAAGCTATTGCTGCTAACGCTGGTCCTGGGAAATAGCTTTTTCACACAGGGCCATGTATGTTTTTTTCCCCCAGCTTTATTTATAAAGAAAGTCATTAAAAAAAGGAAGAATTTTGCATTGACTTGTGCTTTATTTTAATAATATTTGATTTTGTTTGCTGTTCTGAAACATTTAAGTGCACCAAACCTGCAAAAAAAGAAAAGAAATCAGGAAGAGGCAGAAATTTTTTCCCTTTCATGTTACCCTGACAGCTTTGCACAATTTAAGGCAAGGCAAATTTATTTGTATAGCACAATTCAGTACAATGCAAAGTGCTTTACATGATTAAAATATAGGAAAATAAAACAGAATCTAAGCAAGTAGGAAAAAAACTAAAATAAAAAATGCAGAAGCAAAAAATAATATTAAAAACAGTTGGACTAAAGAAAATAAAAAAGTTGAACTAATGATGTTTCAGTTGAACTGTTTAACTAGAACAGTCGAAGGCGATCCTAAACAAATTTGTTTTTAGTCTTGATTTAAAGGAACTTTTACAGATTTCTAGAAGTTTGTTCCAGATAAGCGGAGCATAGGAACTAAATGCTGCTTCTCCATTTAAGACCTAAATTGCATCTTTGAGGTGGCAAGTTTCTCAGTTGGATTTAGGTATGAACTGGGAATGAACTATGCAAACATGAATCTGTGTTAAACTCCTTTGTTCTTGAAGGTAAACCTCTGTTTAGAGAATCAAGTCTTTGCAACCTCTTATGCAACCTTTTATACATTTTAGTCCTCTGTTAACTCAATCTTTTATTAAATCAATCTCGGAAAATAAAGTAAAAACACTATAGCATGATGCTGCCTCAACCGTGTTTCCCCTCTATAAGGGTGTGTGTAGGTCAATCACATGGACACTCTTACAGGGCACTCTACTCACATACTCTAGAAAAGAGAAAATGTATTTGACTTTACTTTCTGTCCTTATTTTATGTGATTGGAAGGAGTTGGAGCGTGAACTTGAGCTCCAGGTGGGCCTAAAGAAAGAGATGGAAGTGGCCATGAAGCTACTGGAGAAAGACATTAACGACAAACAGGACACGCTGGCGGCGTTACGGCTCCAGCTCGACCAGGTCAAGACTCTTAACCTGCAGATGTTCCACAAAGCGCAGGTAGGAACAGAGGAGCATAATGTGTTTCATAACAACCACACTGTACATACTGGCTTCATGTTAACTGGGTTGTCTCCTAGGACTCGGAGCGACAAGCAGAGAAGAAGCAGGCGGAGGCGGTGCAGCTGGAACAGAGAATAAACAACATGGAGAAAACCATGGTGGAACTGGAGCGGCGGTGTGCATTAACACTTGCAGGATTTGCCCCTGTTCTGTATTAAAACATTCGCTTAATTAGTCCTCTTGACTTTTCAGACTGCAGAAATCGGAGCAGGAGCGCAGGCAAACCGACCAGTCGGACAAAGACATGAGAGTGGAGCTGGAAGGGAAAGTTGACACGTTCGAGAAACAGTTGACGGATTTGGAAAAATTAAGGTAAACTCAAACAGAAGACGATTACAAGATTTCTACAGCACTATGAAATAATAAAAAAAAACCTATTGCAAACTAAGAAAACGTCCAAACAGCTTAATAGAACATCAAAGCTAAAAGGTAATGATTTTAAAGCGAAATGCATCTCTTTTCTACACAGAATGGGTTTAGAAAATGAGCTTCGCTCAGAGAGAGAGCAGAGGCAGAGTTTGCAGAAGGCTCTGCAACGGGAACAGGACAACAGTGTTGAACTGCGCACCCAGCTGCAGCAGCTCCAGGGCCTCAGCACGGTCAGTTCACCTCACACACAGGTAGAAATATCAAGTTCAATAATGCCAGGAAATAAAAAAATCCAACTTACTTTAAGAATTTCCAGTGTCTCAATAGCTAACTGCTAATAGGTTTGGTCTCTTGACAATTTCACATACAATTAGTAAAAATCGATACAGAAAAATAAAATTGAAACCCTGTAAGAGGGGAAACGCTGTTATTAGGCATATAACTGGAAGTGGAAGCAAAAGGTGTGCAGAAGCATCAGGATTGAGAAATTGTGAGAGCTCTCTTCTGTTTCACCATTACTAGTCTCACACATGTACCAAGTTCCAATGATACCCCCTGAATTAAAAATCAGAATATAAATATATTTAGAGTTTTTTCTTTTTCTATAATAATGTTGTTGTGAAACAGAATAGCATGTGGGCATGGTTTCAGTGGACAACCACCCAGCGTCTCATGCTTTTTTTCCCTTACTTTTGAGACTTAATTTTATGCACTTGGTTTTTTTTAATCATTTAAATTTGGTTGGGTGATTAATAGCGCTCATTTATACTTTACATGGTCTTTAACAAATATTCTAAGCTAAAATCCCTTTATTTCTACCGTACACCTGAAATGATAAGAAGCATCTTAGCTATGCTAAAGAGAAAAAGGAAGAGGTGTACTTGGAAGTTGAAGTCATGTTTTCAGATGAGGTCAATTCTGCTTTATATTTAGGAAGTTTAGAAAAGTATTCATTTATAAGATGGGATTTTACCTGTAATTGAATAACTGAAACCAGCTTGGTTTTAAGATGTACCTGTTCACACATAAGCTTGATTTAAAAGTATTTGATTTTCACATATAGGCTACAAAATAGAATTCTCCCGAAAAGCTGCATGCTTTTCTACAGAAGAGGATTAGGGCCACTGGGGGAAAAAAAAGTTAGCTGATTTTAAAATTTTATTTCAATTTAGTATGGGAAAGAAGTCGGAATTCTGACTTTTTTCTCGGAATTCTGACTTTTTTCTCGGAATTCTGACTTTAATCTCAGAATTTTGGATCTTAATGTAGATGGGCAGCATGAAGGAAGAGATGTGGGAGCACTCAGCTTCACTGACAAAGATGTATGAGGTGGCCAGTGACACATTGGTGGAAAATGACGGAATCAGGCAACTCTTTACGTGCCTGAGGGGTCCCCTCATTAATAGAGGAGCAGAAGGTCATTAAAACAAGAGAGCTAGTCTCTAAAACAGACATGGCTATGGCTTAATGCTAACACGTTTGTTAGCTGTCAGAATTCTGAGATTAAACTTGGAATTCTGAGATTAAATTCAGAATTCTGAGAAAAAGTCAGAATTCTGACTTTTTTCATGTTACACTAGAATAAAATTAAAAAATCAATTCAATTTTTTTTTCCAGTGGCCCTAATCCTCCTCCGTACTTTGCTTTTTAATGAAGGTTGCATTTATACTTTGTGGGCACTATGAGGATCGACCTGGGTACTTAAGACCTCAGCACAAAAGCACACTGCTTTAACCCACTAGGCAAACACTCCCCTCCTAATATGAAATTAAACTTTTTTATTTGTTGCTTCTCTTGCAGGAGCTGCAGGATTTAAAGAAAGAGAAAAAGCAGCTGCAGCAGAAGTGTGAACAGCAGGAGCAGACACTCCAGGAGATGGGCTTACATCTTAGCCAGTTAGTAGCAGCAGCTTTTAACAGCAAAGCTTCCTGCTTAATGGAACATCTTTAATTCCGTTCTCTATCCTCACTCAGGTCTAAACTGAAGATGGAGGATTTTAAGGAGGTCAATAAGGCCCTGAAGGTAAATATTAATAATTTGATTAAAAAATACTTCAAAATGTTGCAATTCTAACAAAAAACTGCAGGATTTTTTTAAACTGAAAATAAAAACGTTTGATCCCACCTTCGCAGGGCCATGCATGGATGAAAGATGATGAAGCTACACACTGCAAACAATGTCAAAAGGAGTTCTCCATTTCACGTAGAAAGGTTTGTTTATTTTTAAACTCCCATCTTTTGTTATCTAGTGTGGCAGATCTCTTACTCTACTTAACATCTGTGCAGCATCACTGCAGAAACTGCGGCGACATCTACTGTAACAGCTGCTCGAGCAACGAGCTAGCCTTACCGTCCTACCCTCGGCCTGTGAGAGTGTGCGACGTGTGTCACACGCTCTTGTTGCAGAGAAGCTCCTCCACAGGCTCCTGACAGAAAAACGCTGCAGAGACTTCTTCTAACCACTAATGTTAGGGGACTAATAAGAGGGTTTGGTGTTTAGTGTTTGTTGGTCAACCTGAAATTCAGGTGCCACGTTTGTAACCAAGATGACCATGTGGACTAAAACTGATTTATACACTTTACTAGCAGAGAATAAACACTGGGCTAGCTGTTGGATACTAAACATTAACCCTGAGATGCATCATTGTCCCCTAAATTTCAGACCAATTACAGATGCTTTAGTTTTTTTTAGGTTTATTAAATGTTTTCATCATTAATTTGGATAACATTTAAATTTGCGGTTGGAATCAAAGTTGTTTCTTTAAGCCAAGAACTTGATCTTTGCATCTCTAATAATCTCACATAACATAACTGGATGTATGTCACACTGATAAAGACTGTTAGGCTTTCTGCTTATTTCTAACTTCAGCGGCCTTGTTGCTGGATGCAGGTTTATGTAAAGTAATTGTTAAATCTTAAATAATCACACTATTAAAGAATGTATTTAATGATTTTGTAGATCATGTCAACTTCTACTAAACCTGTTTATAAAACCAGGGATTGATTGACTTTTTTAAATAAATTAATAAAACTTGTCTTTCCAGCGCTTATGTCATTGTGGTATTTCAGACTACTTTATTCACTTTGTGCACAGAAAATACAAATAGCATTCAAAGCTGTAAAAACCTCCATGGTAGCAGATTTTAGGTTCATTTGCCATCCGGTAGCCCTCTTCAAGGAAAAAAAAAAGTAAGAACAGTCATAACATCAAGAAACAAAACCCCTGCGCACCTTGAAGTCAAACATACATTTCAACTGAAACACTGAACCAGCAAAATGAGGTCAAACATCCAAAAAAATACAAGTTTTTTTTTTTCTGCTCATGCACTCAAGAGTCGTCCACCAGCATGGGAAGAGTTAACCTTCAGAAACGGGCCGGTGTTTGGAGAAAACATCAAACTTCAGGACAGTGGAAAATTAAACATGTGGGGGGTTTTGTAATGAGTTGGGTCTGAGAGGAATGGGGAAGACAACACTTCGGTTACATTTCTTGTGACAAACAAATCTCGCATCTCTCTGTAAATCACCGGCTTAAAAAAAATATAAACCCCCTCCCCTCCATATTTTCAGAGAAAACAACCTCACCTCATCAGCCTATGTTTAACAAAGTGAGACATTTTCCAGTCTTTTTCAGCAAAATGCTGAGTTAAAAACATCAAATTAAGGGTTGAGAGTGAGAAAAAAACAAAAAAAAACAAACTACATTCCCCATCCCCCACCAAGTCCATTCATCGAGCCTCTGCTTCCGCCTCCACCACCGCCATAGTAACTGCTTCCCATCCCGCCCTGGTTACCTAACAAGAGAGAGAATAGACACCATAGGACCCAAGGGTTCACTTTAAACAGTCATGCACGGTAAAATGCGCTACATCTGTTATGAGGGACACCAGAAGGTTTTCCCTTAAACGTGTGTATTAAACCATTAACGTTTATAAAAGGAATTGACTTGGTTTTTTGTCTAATAGGCATCAGGTGATGTTTCACTATTTCATAGCACAGCAGGCTTTTATTTTATATAAGTTTTATTTTATATAATTTTATTTAGTAGATGCATTTCATTATTATTTTAACCAACAGCCAAAATTAATTTCATGCATTTTTGCTTAAAATTTAGCTAAATTATTTTTTCTCAGCATAAGCAGCTGCTTATTTAAGAAAAAAGGGAATAACAAACATCAGGGAAGTGTTGCTTTTGATAATTTGTTAATAAACACAGTAATCAAATATTTCACATTTTAAGCTAAATAAAACAGGTGTGACTTATAAACTCAGAAATAAAGTGTTTAATCAAATATGAAAGTAAAAAAAAAGAGCCAACACTCACTGTATTCACTGTAGCCACCCATGCTTCCTTGGCTGTTGTACCCACCAGAGTACCCTGAGCTCAACTGGCCTCCGCTGTATGAAGACTGGTTACCTGTGGTGGAACAAACCGAAAGGGGACTAAGAGGAAACTCCAGCTACACATTTATTACATAAAACCTTTGAAACAAAACCACTTTGATCAAAATCAGATTTCAGAACAATTACAGAACCCTCTGAACACATTGGCAAATTTTACACGAAAAGACGTGTAAAAAGTAGGGACGTTCCAATCTGACAAGCTTAAAAAAAAAAATAAAAAAATCGGTCTGCACCTATATCCAATATTAGGCTGAAGTTTCTGTGTTAATTTCTCATGGGTAACTTGTTTTCACAGTAATATTGCTTGATGAAGCATTTTCTAACATTCTACATTATAAAGTAATAAAAGCCGGTATGATTCATGCCAATATCGGTATCGGCCAATTCTCAATATCACTGCGGTATCCTACTGGAAATGAAAAAGTTGTATCAGGACATCCCTCGTAAAACGTTTTCAAATTAAGCACTTAAAAACAGGTCATTTTCTGATCCTGATTACAGGTGCTGGTCATAAAATTAGAATATCATGAAAAAGTAGATTGATTTCAGTAATTCCATTTAAAAAGTGAAACTTGTATATTATATTCATACATTACATACAAACTCATATATTTCAGATGTTTATTTTGTTTAATTTTGATGATTACAAATGACAACAAATGAAAATCTCAAATTCATCATATCAGAAAATTAGAATATTGTGAAAAGGTTCAAAATTGATGGCCCCTGGTGCCACACTCTAATCAGCTAATTAACTCAAACCACCTGCAAAAGCCTTTAAATGGTCTTTCAGTCTAGTTCTATAGGCTACACAATCATGGGGAAGACTGCTGACTTGACAGTTGTCCAAAAGACGACCATCGACACCTTGCACAAGGAGGGCAAGACACAAAAGGTCATCGCTAAAGAGGCTGGCTGTTCACAGAGCTCAGTGTCCAAGCACATTAATAGAGAGGCGAAGGGAAGGAAAAGATGTGGTCGAAAAAAGTGTACAAGCAAGAGAGATAACCGCACCCTGGAGAGGATTGTGAAACAAAACCCCTTCAAAAATGTGGGGGAGATTCACAAAGAGTGGACTGCAGCTGGAGTGAGTGCTTCAAGAACCACCACACACAGACGTATGAAAGACATGGGTTTCTGCTGTCGCATTCCTTGTGTCAAGCCACTCTTGAACCACAGACAGCGTCAGAAGCGTCTTGCCTGGGCTAAAGAGAAACAGGACTGGACTGCTGGTGAGTGGTCCAAAGTCATGTTCTCTGATGAAAGTAAATTTTGCATTTCCTTTGGAAATCAAGGTCCCAGAGTCTGGAGGAAAAGAAGAGAGGCACTTCATCCACGTTGCTTGAAGTCCAGTGTAAAGTTTCCACAGTCAGTGATGGTTTGGGGTGCCATGTCATCTGCTGGTGTTGGTTCATTGTGTTTTCTGAGGTCCAGGGTCAACGCAGCCACATACCAGGAAGTTTTAGAGCACTTCATGCTTCCTGCAGCTGACCAACTTTTTGGAGATGCAGATTTCATTTTCCAACAGGACTTGGCACCTGCACACAGTGCCAAAGCTACCAGTACCTGGTTGAAGGACCATGGTATCCCTGTTCTTAATTGGCCAGCAAACTCTCCTGACCTTAACCCCATAGAAAATCTATGGGGTATTGTGAAGAAGAAGATGCAATACACCAGACCCAACAATTCAGAAGAGCTAAAAGCCACTATTAGAGCAACCTGGGCTATCATAACACCTGAGCAGTGCCACAGACTGATCGACTCCATGCCACGCCGCATTGCTGCAGTAATACAGGCCAAAGGAGGCCCAACTAAATACTGAGTGCTGTACATGCTCATACTTTTCATGTTCATACTTTTCAGTTGGCCAACATTTCTATAAATCCTTTGTTTTTATTGGTCTTCAGTAATATTCTAATTTTCTGATATGATGAATTTGAGATTTTCATTTGTTGTCATTTGTAATCATCAAAATTAAACAAAATAAACATCTGAAATATATGAGTTTGTATGTAATGTATGAATATAATATACAAGTTTCACTTTTTAAATGGAATTACTGAAATCAATCTACTTTTTCATGATATTCTAATTTTATGACCAGCACCTGTATATTGAGAAATACCAAACTTTTAATCCAAATATTTTTGATTTATTGGTTTAAGAGACAATATAGAGAAGTAACTTTACAAAATCATCGGTGACACTTTTTGAATCCCATTAAATACAAGTTGCAACTGTATTTATTTTTTTTTTATCAATCTTTAAGTAACTCCTGACTTCCTGTTTCTTCCCTGGAAATAATAATGGCATGACACAAAGCTACATATAGCCCCTCCCCCAAAAAACCTATTGTAATTTAGAAAAGTAAAAAGCATTTCTGCATAAAAGTTACTTATTGGAATTACTCCATTTTCATTTGTTATACAAAAAATTTAATTTGATCCAATAAAGTGGATCAAAAAATACAGATGGAAACCATGAAATGGCTTTATTAACTAGAAGATGAGGGGTGTTTTAAGCTACTAATAATCTGGTTCCCTTACAGCCCTGATACCTACTCATGCCACCCATCATCTGACTGCCATAGGCGCCGTTACTGCCCCCTGCTGTGGAGTTTAAGAACAGCTCCACGTAGCGGTGCTCTGCAGAGGAAAATAAGTCATTATGATCGAGTAACTTCCGAATGGAGCTCTGTTAAATACAGTTATTTCAAAGTGGATCCTAACAAACTCACGCATGTTGGCTTTGTCTTTGGACATTGCTGCAACGGCATCTTCGTGTGTCGCAAACTCCACATCTGCCTCCCCCGTCACCCTCCCATCTGGGCCGACCTCAATGTGGACCCGAACAGGATTCAGCGGAGAGAAGAACTATAAAAGTGAGGGAAAACAAACGTTCGCTCAGGAGATTCTTGATAAAATACATACTCCACTCTGAAGCCCATGACAGTGAGGCGTCTCTTACATTGTATATATCTGTCTCTGTGGCTCTGTATGGCAGCCCCCTCATGTGGACGCAGTGGCCTGTTGTGCTTTGAAAGGAAGAGCCGCCGTCCCCATACCGCCCATCAGATACACCTGCACACACAATCAGATTAACACACGGTCTTATATGGACTTTACACCTTAATCTTGTTATCATTAAGAGCAGCACTGGTACAGAGAACACGTTCTACAGCAATGGTTAAAAGAATGTAAACGAACACCCACCTCCTCCATAGCCTCCTCGACGCAGCCTTTCATAGGATCCTCCCCGGCCCATCATGTTGTAACCCCGTCCAGCCGAGGGCCGGTCGTAGGGGCTTGGTCTCTGCATCCCCATAGGCTTCCGCTGGGGTTCGTAGTGGGTCCGCACCTCAGCGCGGCTGCTCTTGAATATCTCAATGTACCTAAGAGTATAGAGACAAAACACTTAAGGCCCGGGAACGGGTGAGACTGCATTTTTTTAATACTGGGCTATGCAGATGCTGTTATGATGTATTCCATTGGTAGCAATGCCTATGAGTACCTAATAGTTATTAAAACAAGCTGAATTATTTAACAACTGAGTTTAAGAAATTTTCCAAATTAACAAGGACCTTGGTAACTTTGAACTTTTCTTATGGTTATCAGAGGCAATTTAGATATCTGATGCATAATCTCTCTCTTTACCATATCTGCCAGTGTCCTGTTTTTTTTCTTTTTGGAGAGAACTCCAGCCCTACTGAACACCACTCTAAAGCATTGCCTGTAGCAGTGGGCTCTAGATCCATGTTGCATTGGGACTGATGTTACCACGACAGAGAGAGAGTCCTAACCATTTAAATCAACCTGGATTCAAACAGCTTTTATCTTCAAATTTATTTTGTTTTCCAATCAGGGTCTCATATTATTCTTTTTTTTTTTTTTTTTTTATGGGCCCTAGCATTTTTTTTCCCACGGAAAATCTTTGATGTATGCAGAGTTTATTCTCATGTAGAAGTTTTTGTGTGTATTATTTAATCATTGTTTAAGTGTAGTGGAAGTTTAGCATTTGATTCAGATGTTGAATGTACACACCATAAGAAAAGCAACTTATCCAGCCAGCCAACCAACCATCCCCACCTGTGCCCTATTCTTTCCTTGTGTTTCTTTAGAGCCTTTTCAGCTATATCCTGTGAAGCAAACTGCACGAAGGCCTCCCCCGTACTCCTCCCCTGGATGTCCACCGGCAATGTTATCCCATTTGGCACGATTTCCAACCCTTCAACCCAAGGACAGATAACCCCAGCAGGGGACATATTAAATCACATGCCCAATAACAGTGAGAACTTTCTCTAAAGTGAGAGAAAATTTTACATCACATATACACCAGTTCAGTTTTAACTGGCCATTTTAAGGAGTCACATTTATTACACTCTGGGGATAAAGAAGAAAATGAAAGGATAGAGTAAGCATATGAAAAGGGCGGGATTCGTGTGGGACACCAGGATAGTATTGGAGTGTTGATGAACAAAGAACAGGAGCTTGGTGGGTGACATGAGCAAATTTACTGTTTTCCTGTATAAATCTAAACAGTGGTCTTAAACTGTAAATAAAAATAACGTATTAGGAGACAAAACTGGGAGATGGGAAAAAGAAAAAAACTTAAAACATGAGAGGAGATCTCATCAGGGGAAAGTAGAGATGCACCGAAAATTTGTCTGGGAACTAGAAATGGTCGATTTTCCAGCCTCTTTGAAAACATGCTACCTTCTTTGCCACACAGACCAAAACACCACTCAGCATTGCAGCCCTAAAGAGAACAAAACTCTAAATACACCATTTCCAGTAATGTGGATGTTATGGTATGAACGCAGAGGAAATCAGATGCAAATCATTCAACCTACAACAGAAAATGTTGCTTAAAAAAAAAAAAAAAAAACATGGGGGGTTTGAACATCTTATAAAAAAGGAGCCAACAGAACGTTTTGTAATCATCCCGATGAAGACCACAAGCCAAAACGCATTGGTCAGCAAATTAAAATCCACTTCCTAATACTTGCAGGAGTCTTTACCTCACTAGATATTTCATCCTCTAAATCCGTCAAGTTTTGGCACCTTTTTTATTTTAATTAAAATTCTGGACGTTCTGTTAAAACAGCTGAAGGAGCATTACTTGTTGAATTTTCTAACCAAAACCTTCTGAGTTTTTTTTTTTTTACCTTTTAAAGGAACAAACCGAGTTCAGAAATTCTGGCAGCCTTTTAGAAATCACCAAGCTTGGGTAAAGGTCTGCACCGGAAGTTTATACACCACCTTAAAGGAAGCTAAAGTAATGTTATGGCCTTTAAGTTTAAAACTTTTTAAAAAGGGTTAACCACAGACCAGAGACTGGTCCCTAATCTTTGATCGGTGCATCTCTAGACGACTGTAATACAATCAGACCCGAAAAAATTGAAGCGACTGCTCTACATGGAATATGGTGTGAGGATGAAAAAGGGCATTTACAAACACACTCCAGACCCTTAGAAAATGACCAAATAAAAACCTAGCTTCAAACTTTAAACTGCCTCCCATTTATGGGTTAATTTCCATTTATTTACAAAATCATGAGCTAGATCATTTTTATTAATCTACACTCTTTCCTAACACTGAAAGTTAATTATCCTAAAGATCCCTTCTTGCACAGAACCAGCAAGAGTCAGTGCTATAAAAGAAAAGAATAAAGAAAGAAAAATGGAGTACTAATGTTTAAATCACCAACCCTAAAGATTTTACAGTAACAACCAAAAACAATTCCTACCTGAGAAAAACTGGACGATCTCTTCCTTGCTGCAGCCAAAGGGAAGGCCCCGGAGGCGCACAAGTCCATCTCCTGCTGTCTCGGGACAATTTGGGCCAGTGTGCTTCATGACCCAATCCATCTCAACATTGTTGGATTTAAACACTGCATTGAGTAAAATAAAAAAATATATTTATGTTAAGAAAATGTCCAGGAATAATTACACCACATGCAGTGGAAAACAGCCTGCTGCTGTACGCACCCTCTACATATCTGTGACCCATGGTTTCTCTATCCTTCTTCACTGCTATCTTCAGATCTTCCTCGGTCTCCAGTTCCACAAATGCCTCTCCACTTGGACGTCCCTCTCTGGTGTAGGTGAAATGTATTCCACCTCCATTGTTCAGAATTTTGCAGCCTAAAAAGAGGTTTTAAAGAGAAACAATGCCAACGTTGCAAAGTGACAAGGCAAAAAAAAACATTAAGTAGATTTAGTGTTGACCTATCAGCCAACCGTAGCCCAGGCGAAAGAGCTTTAGGCTTGCAACTAGCAATAATAACCATTTACAGTGTAAGGAAAAGTATCACACCTAAGTGAGAATGTACTTTATAGAGATACTTTAGGTACTACTGAGTGGGATCATTTTAGTGTCTTGTTGCCTTTGTCGCCATGCACGAAGCCATGGGCAAATAAAGGCAGCATGACACCGTCAAGCCTTGTAAGATCAGTGAAACAGCATGCTCACAAAAAAAAAACAGATCTATGGTATAACTATCACACCGAGTCTGTTTTTTTTGGTATGTAAGGGAAATAAAAAATACCAAGATGGAAATATTAGCTATAGAGCAGGGATCTGGAGCTGCAGATCACAATTATTTTAATGATCGATTAATCTATAGATCCTTTTTATTTTATTTTTTTTACATTCATTTAACAAGAACACTAAATTAACATTCATGGTACAAAAAAGAAAGTTTGGCACATCTTAATTGGATTCTAAAGGGCAAAACATACATGGCAATATAATAATAAAACATTGAATTTGCTAACTGATCAATTTGTTAACTACGTTAAGCAAATGGTGTTTTAATATATACATTATATAAATAAAAGAAATGCTAAAATGAATTAAATTTCCATAGCTCACGGTGAGATCAGTTTATCACTTTTCTTAGTTGTGTAGGACGACTGAAATAAAAGCTAGTTTTTGAACTCAACATGATTGTTAAACTAATAATAATAATAATAACAACTAATAAATCACATGATCAGAACTGCTAGATAAAACAATATATATAAATAAAACTATGCCACTTAAGTTAGGGAAACAGCATATTTATAGACAAAGGTCAATTTATATTTAAATCATAATTAGTAGTTTTATATGCAATACTTAGATTTTTAGTAGTTTTGTCATTTTTTTTCTACAATATTGTCTATTAAATAACTCGTCTTTCAAACGCCCCTTGTGTTTTTGTCATTTCAGAGAAGAATGAATACTGAAAATGAAAATTCACAGAGGTTTTAATATAGAGCACACAGCTGTAAAATTGGTGAACACTCCTTGTGTTAAAAGACTGCATGACATGAGTTCACATTTACTGTTTAAAGGTATTTCTTCCCCTTTTGGTATACATACCTGCAAAAAACCTCTGTACTTCATCCACTGAACAAGACCAAGGCAGACCCCTGATTCGAACAACGTATCCCTCATCAGCCATAATTGGTCCCAACCCCTGCAAAAAAAGAAGAAAAAATATATTTTATTTTGCATTTATTTAACCAAGAATATGGTAAAAGGAGCAGTTTATCTGCAACTTTTGATTTTTATTTACACACAGATCCTGAATATCATCATACTTGGATACCAGTTAGTAGCACTTTTTCAATATCAGGAAGCAGAGCAGCTTTCCTTAATTATATTAAAAGCTGTTTCTTTTGATATCTACTATAGAAAACAAAAAAGAAACTATTTATGATTACAGTTTTTTTTCTAAGCTCTATGACGGCTCTGTAACAGCGCCCCCACGAGCCCATTTTGTATATTCCCCGCTATATATCATATCATATAAAGTACAGTTCTGTATGTGGTGCAAAACTACAACGAGACGAGAGAAAACATCGAACAATTAAACAAAACATGGCTACTTTAATAAAATATCTTAAAGGTTTGGAGTTAGCGTAAACTGGTAACAGTTTACGTGGCTACAAAAAAGTCGTAGCTAGCTGCAAATATTCAATCGACATTTCCCTTAAAGTCGATGCCTCTCGATAACACTGGACACTGTACCCCCTTTAAATGCTGTATATTAAATGACCTACAACTGTGTTTGTTATAAATTATCGTTTGGCTACAGCATTCTCGCGCCGCACCCGGATACAAGAACAATAGAGGCCCTTTCAACCAGCGCCATGTTCTTAGCTTCAGATGCTAACTTGTTAAACTAACGCAAAGGCACATCTACCGACTTTATTTTACAGACCATACTCTGATAGCAAAATAGTCAGGATGATAAACGATTAGCAATAATACAATTGATGAGAACGGTATATGGTTTTTAAACATTTACCTTTTGAGCTACGGAAGAAACACGCCGGAGATCAATGGCAGGAGCTACTATCTGATGCGGCTGAAAGCTCGTGCTGTGTTGCCAGGTTTGTCTGAATGGCCCCCTTCAGCACGCCCTTTCAAGGCATAACAGAAAAGGCATAGATCTAAACACCCACTTAGTAGTCACGTCTTTAAGACGAGATGGTTATATTTCTACTAATTTTAACTTTATGAATTAGATTCAAATCAGATGACGACGCAAGAGTCAAACATTTGTGGATTTTTTTAGAAACGTATTAAAAGTACGCAAAGTGTGGATTTTTCTGCGTGTCTGGCAATCCCCAGCAGGATGACGTTGCTGCCCAAGGCCCAGTCTGGTCTGGCCTTCAGCATTCCCTGGCCTATAAATCTTAGTAAAAGTGATATACAGTGATCATCACCATTACTTTCTATTTTATTAAAACCTTTGCATATGTAAGTCACTTTTAAACACCAATCAGAATTACAATTATTATTATTATTTTTTTAAATGCTTTACGCTGAAAGGAGATATTTAGATTGCTGTGATGAATAAGTGTAACAATAACATAGGTATAACTAAAGATGTAAGATCTGATCAACAAAAGTTGCTTTTGAAAGCAGTACGGGAAAGTATGCATGCTAATTAAAATAAATAAAACCTCTGCTTGTCTTATTTAAGCTGTTTAGTAACCAGATAGACTTTTAGATGGCAATTTTGTGAATCTGAAAGATGCTTTTCAAATAAAAATTGAGCAATTTAAATAATATATTTGTAGCACTTGTTTCTATGTATATGATGATTAATTTAGCCTAATATTTTTAATTTATACTCTAATAATCCCAGAGGGAAATTACTTCTTTGCATTTAACCCTACCCCTTGGGGAGCAGTGGGCTGCCATTGTGAGGCGCCCGGGGAGCAGTGTGGGGTTAAGGGTCTTGCTCAGGGACCCAGAGTGGTAGTCTATGGGAATGGGGGATCAAACTGACAACCTCAAGATTCAAAGCCCTATGCCCTAACCACTAGTCCCTTCTTAAATACAATTGAATGCTACATATTTTTTTCAACTAATAGCTAATATTTTATAAGCTTTAAATTTTGCTTATAGTTTAACAATATTCCCACAGAAAGCTTTAATTTCTAACAAAATTTGAACTTGTCAAATAACCATAGAGATTATGTACATTTTTGTGAAACTCAAGTCTTAATTAAATTTAATTAGGTCCAGTGGTCTCCCAGTTGGACTTGTTCTGTCCAATGAAGGATTTCTTGGCTGAAAAAACAGCAAAATATAAAAATGTAAAAGTCACTCATGCTGACTAACTCTGTCATTACAGAAAACAAATAGAATTTCATTTCAAAGATTTCAAAGCCAGGTAAAGAAAGATAATTGTACTGAATTAAAATAAACAAGAAAATTTATTTTAAGCATTTTATGTTTAGACGGATTTGACTATTTCCTATGAGTTCTTTTGGGTTTGTAAAAAAAATATGCAAGGCTTTTGTTGCAAATATATATATATATATATATATATATATATATATATATATTTTTTTTTTTTTTTTTGCAACAAAAGCCTTGCAAAACTGCCAGAAAGTCCCCAAATAAAGGATACATTCTGATTTTAAACATATATTTTCATATCAATAGTATTACTTTGAAATAAAAAAATAAAGTCGTTATGTAACATAAAAATCAAACTTCATCGAAATGTACAAAGTAGTATAATTATTGATTTTTCTTCCAAATGTGCAGATTTCCCAAGTGAATTAGAGTAAACTAATAAAACTAGTAACTAGTTTAGTTGGCCTACCATGTCATGTTCCCTCAGCAGCCTCGTGATATTGGTAAACCTAACATGACGTTGCGGTCTCATATTTGACAAGCAGAAATGTGGGCCAATAAGATGCAAAAGTCCATCTTGCTCAGCCAATAAGCTTAAGAGGATCCTCCACAGAGGCGGTCTTTCTGAGAAACAGTGCGTATCGGGTTAGGTTGTTAGAAAGTTAATGGCTGGGGGAAAGAGAACCTCCTCAACCCTCGCTTCGGGAGAGTTTCTGGATTCCCTGAAGTAAAATCAAGCAAATATCTTCAAAGAAAGCGCCTGGACGGACGTTTAAGTTAACTACTAGCCCGTTAACACGCGTTTGGTGAACATAAGTATGCAGGATGCAGTAGCCGGGACGGCAATGCTGACAGACGGCTTCGAGGACGAGATTGACTCGGTGACTCCTCGCTCCCCAGTGGCAGGGATGGGGGTAGGAGCGACACCAGGAGTCGGACTTGGAAGCATTGGGATTGGTGTAAGTGGGAAGAAAGTGCGTTTGTACGGCGAACCTGGCGGAGCGGCCGCAGAAAGACTGGATTTCAAACTAGCGGCCGCGGCCGTCCTCTCCTCGGGTCCGGGATCCGGCAGCGACGAAGACGAGGTTTCCGAGGTAGCAACGCTAAGCTAGTTAGCTTAAGCTTAACCGTTGGCAACCACCCCCTCCCAGGCCGCTTAAATAACATAACCTAACTAATAAAGTGGTGATATTGTGTCTCTCTACAGCTTATACGTTTACGAACAGCTTGGTGTTCGCCGGTTTTGCTAATACTGGGGCAGTTATTCATGCCAACAGGCTGAAATGTTTTATTTATGCAGCGCAGGCTGCGGCCACGGCCTAGTTCGGGTGGAAGCGACTACGGCCTCGTTCGGTGCTGTCGTCTCGCAACACCCATCACAAGTTTGCATTCCCTCAGCAGCCTTCCAGCCACAGCGTATGCTAGATGTCCAGCACGTCTCGGACGCACAGGGCCAGCTAAATGCCAGCCATTTCGTAGTTGTGGTGCAATTACGTCACTTTCTAAATCATGTAAATCAACCGGGATCTTAACCTCTGCGAACTTTTCCAACACATTTAGATGATCACGTTGAAACCGAACAACTCCAGTGGCCCACATTTGGTTCTGATGAATAGGCAGAGCTGTCTTTACAAATCTAATCTGACCACCAAACAGTGGCGCCACACATTAGAACATCTTGGATACCTGTTTTTCATGTGTCCAACTTTCCACGTCTTTTCACGGAGGCAGGTGTGATTGCATCTGTGTGTTTATTATGACGCCAGATGTACATGTCTGGTCTATTTCTCTTCTATATATAAACTAGACAAAAACAATCCGATTATGGAAGACATCTGGCATTAAGATGAAATTCTACAATTGGCATGCAACATTTTATAACATCACTTATTTATTGAGAACATGAACTTAAATGTGATTGTATTTAACAAATGTATACTCACAATTGGATTGCTTAAGGTTAAATTACTTCACCTGTAAAGTTCTCATTATTATGATATCTGTTTTACTTCTATGCAAAGTTTACTATTCAAAGCTTAGAGGTGGATTGTTGTGCGATGTGAGGAGATTTGACACCACTGACCCTTGGACGTTGTTCCTGTTGAGGTGCCTCTGTTATACTTTACAAACATTTGAGCCAAGGATTATCTGTCTGAAATCCTAAAGTCATGGCAGCCGAGTAAGGATATCGGCTGACACCGTTGTCAATATGATATGGTGTTTTTTTTTTTTCTGCCTTAGTATCTGCATTGTAATTGGGGAAAGACACAATATCAGTTTTATCACCCACCCCTAATTCAGACAGTTGAATCAAGTTGCAAATGCATGGCCTCTCTGCCATGTTTACTGACTTGCTCTGTATTTGGAGCAGAAATTGGACATTTGTTTTTGTGTTTTGCTCCAGTGGGAAGCTTGCTGCTCTGGGCAGTGGCTAAAATCTGAGCCCCAGGATTAAGCAGATGCCATTCTAGGCCTTTCCAGCTCTCTGGATACCAACTCTCTGGGAGCTGTAGTTCATTCAAAAGGGAGAGACTGATATCCATTGTTTATCATAAAGGCCTCTCAGAACTACATCTCCCATGCTCTGATGTGCTTTATAACACAACTGAATGTCTCCTTAACACTGAATGTGGATTCACTTCTCATATTCGCTCAAAGAACGAAGCCTGTCTTAGTTTTAGTGGACTTACAAAGCAATTATTGTCCTCCTAATTTTTTTTTCTTCCGTTAGTGGACTTATAATTTAGCTTATAGGAATACTTCATCGGTTATATTGCAGTTCTGTATGATTTAAAATATTTAGTAATTATTCTGAGACGAGGTGCTTATACCTGCCTCACTAATTTACTCATCTTTCTAAGCTGATCATGATTTTTAAAATCTTTGAGGATTAATGAACCAGACCAATTGGAAACTGTTTATTCACTCATTTAAATCTGGTTTTAGTTATAATTAATCAAAAATATAATAAGCTAACCCCACTGGAAGATAATTTCTAGAACGCTAATCACTAGATGTTTTCTGTGCATGGATAAACTAGAGTGCAAAGCTTGACAAAGTGTGCCAAAGTTTAGGTATGAATTTGGGCAGCTGACTCCCAGCTGAAGCTCAATGTGTGCAGATTATTATTCCCAATTTTTATAAAGCTCCCTTTGCTTTGACTTTTGTTCCTGTGCTCTTTTCTGTTTCTTTTTTGTTTCTCCTGTTCAGATAAACTGTAAATAAACAAGAGCCACATGCCTGGTCTTTTTATAGATGGTACACTTTAGTGGATGGTTTGGGGACTACTTTTATACAGTAGAATGTAAACAATAGTTTTCAGTAAAGTCAAACTTTGATTTACTTTATTTCCCTTGCTGATTTATTTTATTTTTCAGTCACTTGCTGATGTTTGCCTTTTAAACGAGTACCTGCTAAGTTGGATTCAGGATGTCCCTAGAAGCTAACATGAAAGCAGTAAAAAGCAGTAAAAAAAAAGTGAATTAATCACCCGCCTTTTCCAATCTCTCTTAGGTGGAGTCGTTCATTTTGGACCAGGAGGACCTGGACAACCCCATTATGAAGACGGCCTCAGAGCTGCTTTTGTCCAGTGCCACAGACGGAGTCGATTTGAGGACCGTAGATCCAGAGACACAAGCTCGACTTGAAGCGTTACTCGAAGCTGCAGGTATGGCTGCTTTTGTCTGAATTAATTTCACCTCCAGACTTAACACATGGTAATCTGCTGCTAAATCCTGCATTAATGGTCACACCCATTTTTTTTATATACTCGTCTGAAGTCGTGCC